GGGGGGGGGGGGGGGGGGGGGGGGGGGAAGGGGGACGGTCCAGGCGCCGGTCGCGAGGGGCCACGGTACGATGGGCCCTGTGTAAGAGTGTCTCCGCCACTTTGCCAACAACAGGAGCAACAGACCGGAGAGCCTGGCGGGAGGGCACGCACCAGCGTGGGTCGGTGAAGATGACAACCCTTGGCGCACGACGGCAGCCGCATGGAAGGTCCAAGTGCCAATCTATCGGAATGGTATTCCTATGTTCGTGATTCCCGGCGTGATTTGGATGCGTACACGTGCATCGGCCACTGCTGAAACGCCCGGTACCAGATGGCCGAACTCGCGGGGGGTTATGGGCGAACCCCGTACGGCAGCGGGCCATCGGCCCCGCGTCCTTCAGGCCTCCAGGGGCGTCTCGTTCTTGTGTCGAACCCTGGATTTGGGGCGTTCCCACACTTTTACGGTGGGACGTGCATGTCCACCGCGAGTCCGAGGGGCCGTTTTCTTTTTTCCTTTTTTCTTCCTTTTTTTTTTCGCACGCGCACCCGCGTACACACATGCACGAGACAGAGGCAGGGGAGGAAACTGGAAAGAGGGCGAGACAGAAGGGCACGGCGATTTTCTTGTTATTCCTTGGGTTGTTTTTCTTTTGCGGCTCCCGATCTCGCCCCTGGTCAGGAATCCCACTTCGTTGAGGGGGGGGGGAGGGGATGCACTGGCCGCAGCCACGGCGACCGGAGAACGGCCCCCCTATTGGACCTGTGGTGGCAGATGGGTGCGTGGACAAGTGTGCGTAGTCTCAAGCCCCAGCGCATATACCGGACAAGAGGAGCAACGCCATCATCCGGGTGAGAGAAAGCAGTGCGCTGCTGCATGGTCTCTCGGTCCGGACCATGGATGAGCGCGACCTGCATGCCCGGCTGCGTGTGTGTGTGTGTGTGTGTCTTTATTCTGGCGGGGGTGACTGGCTAAGAGGAGTGGGTTCCCTGTATGCCGAGGTGCCGAACAGGGCGACAAAGATGGGCAAACACAATTGAAGGCTAGATAGTCCCGGAGATAAGCACGAAGATGAGGCGCCCTGCGGTGAGTTTGTTTGCCGGAACTGGGTTCCCTCGCTCGCCCCCCCCCCACCCCACCCCCACCCCCACCCATCCCCCGCTCGCAGCTCGCTCGCCTGGCAGCCAGCCTGTCCCAGTTGAAGATGGACCGGCGAAGCTCCGGTGGGAAACCGCGGCCCTATCCCCGACCCACGCCAACGACGCGACGGCCGCCAAAATCTGGGCTTTGTGATTGGTGGAACTGGTGAGCCGGCGGCGGCAGTGGAGGGGGGTGGCCCTTTCCCGCCAGCATGCCCGCGGGAGCCGATCAGCCAACTCGAGGCGGCTTGTACTTGTCTCACACACACACACAGACAAGCAGACAGCCAGCTAGCCGGACAGACAGACAGACAGACCGACCGACCGACAGACAGACAGACAGACACTTCCCCGTATGCCCGCAAATCCAGGAGCAGAGAGGGGCACACTTCTCGAGCATCATGGGAGATGACACGAAAAATGCCCAATTGAAAAGTCCCCTGTGTTTTATATGTTTATTGGTGGAGAGGGGGGGAGGCTCTCCGGGTATGCCTGCCGGCCCTCTCCCCCTCTGGACGCCAGTCCCAATACCGACATTGGCGCGGAGCTTCTCCCCCGCCGGGGCGATGGCAGGTACGAGGAAGTGGTCCGGCCAAGGGCCGGTTGTGTGCCCGAATCCAGCGTGCACGCGCACATTGTTGCGCACCTTGCATGCGGGTGCCCGCCCCTTCGCGAGGTGGCGCCCTTGTATTGCTGCCGCCCACCGCGAGGATGGGTTGTATTTTTTCCCCCTCCCCCGCCCGGGGGGAAAGGCCACCCCTGGCCCGGCCGCCTGGGAGCCATGTTGTTATTCTTTCATGAGCGAGCCAGCGCGCGCGCGCGCGGGCGGTCCTGGCATTATTAGATTGCGCGCTCGAGCGCCCGCCCCTCTCTCGCTAACGGAAGAACCAGCCCGCATGCCTCCTCATTTACGGGATTTAGGGCATCCACCCGGTCTCAGGACGGGGAACGCCGGTGCGCGCGCGCGCCCACTAGAATTGGCCCCCAACTGGTCATTCTGGGATCTTGCGCGGGCATTTTACCCTGAGACCGGGGAAAGCCCGCCCAATCGCCCTGCAAGGTCCCCTGCCCCCCCCCCCCCCCCAACTCCGGACATTGTCCCGTAGGTGAAGTTCACATGCCCAGGCCCCCCGCCACCAAGATCCCTCGATCCCTTGGCCGGCAGCAGCATGCACCCTGGGAGGAAACGAGGGAGGAAACGCTTGTTGGGGCCCCGGGTGGCATGGGGAGGGTCCGAGAAGGACGATGTCCTCTGTCCTGAGAGGCCTCTTGCCTTGTCGATGAGAGGCCGCGTCAATCGGGCGCGTTGTGTCTTTGACGCACCTGGACACTTGGCCGAGTCACGCACCCTCCCGGGGAGGGATGTTCGTTGGGCAAGGGGCACGGGCAGGAGGCAACTCTGAGGCGACCATCACCCCCGGCCCCCCGGCTGCCATGTCCCCTGTGGCTCGGCCCCTCGTCGCGACAATGTGCGCACCGAGCCGGACTCCCACGCTTGCGGCTGTGTGCCCACACGGCTGCCAGCGCGCGAACAGGCACATTGGCTCTCATACAATGGCCCCCCACCGGCGGGTTCGGCCTAGATGTCCAGGGTGTGGCGCCTCAGTGGCCCTGCTGACATGAGGACCGATCGCCAAGGCCGTCTTCCACCGGGGCCCCATCGCCGGCGGGTCTTTTCCCGCCCGCTGCTGACTTTCCCGCCCTGTGCGCGCGCCCACAGGCGAGTTGTCCGGACGCGCGGCAGACGGCCAGTAACGGCCAGGTCTCATCGCCTTGGGTCTTGGCGCCAGGGTGGCCACCTCGAGGCATCCTGCCATTCTGTTCACTCACTCGACTTCTGTGAGGATCGCGCTCTCCCTCGCTATCTCTCTCTCTCTCCCTCTCGGGGGAAGTGCATCCGGTTGGCTGGATGTTTGTGTCTGCGTGCTCTCGCGAGCCGACATGCGCGCGCCGCATGTGTGGTCCTGCACCCGGGCGTACATGCAGCCGGGCACGCCATAGTACTCCTCCACTCCCTGCCCTTCGCCCGGCCCCGGGTGCCGTGGGTCGCCTCCGAACACATCTCGCAGGGTGCAGACCCCCGATCCTCGGAAGTGGAGTCGCACGGGGGCGAGAGAGAGAGAGAGAGAGACAGAAAGAAAGAAAGCAAGGGCATCATCCCCGAGGGGCGGCATGCGGAGAGCATGGCCCCCCAGGGAGGCGGCCAGCACCGCCCCTTGGGACAGGACAACTCAGGAAGCCGACCGCAGGCGGGCCCCTGCGCCCGGGGGCGATGGGCTCGGCCGGGGCGATTCTTCGCGTCCTGGCACATTTCCGTGGCACATTTCCATGGCACATTCTTCGAAGGCCATGCCAAAATCGCATGAGCGGCCAGGCGTGCCCCACCACCCCCTCCCGCCCCTGCCACTGCCACGCCACCACTACCATCCTCGAGCCCATGCTGCAGCCAAGCCCGCCGAGCCCCATCTCCCCTTCTCGCCTTGCCTGCCACTTTTGCCCTTCTCTCCTCCCCACGCCGCTCTCGCCCCTCGCGCCAGGTCTGTCTCGCGCTGGCTCCAGCCATGCAGCAACTCCAATCACACCATCCATCCTCACCGGCTCCCGGCATAAGTGGCCCAGCCGTGACCGATCGTGCGCTCCCTCTGCCGCCGTCCCCACCGCCACCACCACCACACACGTGCCACTCGGCTCCGGAG